TTTGAAATTTGGATTTTTTTTTTTGTTACTTATTTGGTTTTTTTTTTTTTTTTTTTTTGAGTGTCTATTCTGTGTCAGAATCTGGTGGTACCTTACACGAATTTCCTAAATGGGGATCTGTGAGTGTAGGGGCTCATGGGCTTGTGGAAAAGCCCTGTAATTGATTGCGTGGGGACTGGGGATGGGAAGTGGAGTGCAAAAGTGTGTGGGCCTTCAGCATAGGAGTCCCTAACTGTGGAGCCCTAATTCTTCAGTAGGTGCACAACTTATAAATAAAGCAACATTGATACATTTTAAAATATAATGAGATTTTTATCATTTTTTGCAAGTGAATAATCTTCTAATACATCAGTAATTGAATTTTGGCTTAACAGTTTTTATACAGAGTATTTTGAATTGGGGAAAACCAAAGGTGTTTTGTTTTGTTTTGTTTTGTTTTGTTTTAAAGCACATGCACTATTGCTGCCCTCAAGCGGTTCGTCAGTATCATTGCAGTCTAAAGATTTTCTCAGAAATAAAGAGTAAAGGCTAGTTTTCGGTGACAAGAACCCTTAAAACTTCAGGAAAGATTTAGATCACTCTATGTAGCAACCCTTGTGAAGAATTACTAAAGATGACTGTGGCCAGGCTCAGTGACTCACGCCTGTCATCCCAGCCCTTTGAGAGGTCGTGGCAGGAGGATCATTTGAACCCAGGGGTTCAAGACCAGCTTTGGCAACATAGTGAAACCTGTCTCTTCACAGAGTCAAAAAATTAGCTGGACGTGGTGCCCTGCATCTGTGGTCCCAGCTATACGGAAGGCTGAGGCAGGAAGCTTGCTTGGGCCCGGGAGGTCAAGGCTGCAACGAGCTGTGTTCATGCCTGTCTCTAAATAAATAAAGATTGTCAAAGATATTCTAGTTATAATGGACAACCTCATATATACATAATAACCTCGTTTTATGTTAAAGAAGAATATCTGATTACCTGTTTTACAACTGATTTTGCTTTATTTCATTTTCACGGAAATTCAGACACTTGAAATTATTTAGAGTTTATTGTATTGTTTGTTAATGATGAACTTACCCGTGATTATACTAGGTTCATAATTTACTCTTGTATCCCTATAATAAGTTGTTTGGTCTTTTAACCATCTATATAGCTTAGTGTCTTGTTGATTTTTACAGTCTGAATGTCTGTGTCAATGCAGAATTAACAGTTAAACTTTGGTCTCTTACAGACTTAATGTTTGTAAGATGCATTTAAGTGTATTGGCAAGATATTGCAATCTCTTTAGGCTGTATATACTAATGGAGATTAATTACATTTTAAGTCACCTAACTAAAGAACTAAAGAAACTTATTTTTTTGTATTGAAATGTTATTGGTCTTTGGGTCTTATACCTAAAGTGATTTTTGGCTTTGCTGCAGATTTTAATTTTTTTGTCCTTAGCAGAAATTTAATTTTGCTTATATAAACTGACTGAAATTACACAAGTCAAATTATACAAATATTTCAGAATGTCTAATTTTACGTATTTCTTGTCTAACAATTTATGTGAATATTTACAGGTCGTCTTAATTTTACATATTTCATCTCTAAGAATTTCAAGCCAAAATTCTCAATCCTAGCTGAGAATTGGTACTACCTGTAGTTAATTTAAAAAAAAAATAATAATAAAAGAAGACCTACCTGAGTCTATACGATTTAGAATTTTAGGCCTATGGTTATTAATCCATATGTTTCAGAAGCTTCATATTTATTCTAATGCATAGCAGGGATGAGAGCCACTGCTCTTAAACTAGATTTTCTCACTTAATTTAAAGTTTAAAGTAGTGGGCCAAGTAGAAACTGATTGAATCCTATACAATAGTGAGCTCCATGGCTTTTCCAGACAGTACTTAGAGCAAGCAGAAACATTGATCTAATATAAGCTAGATGTACATAACACCAAGTTCTGCCTCTGAGATAAATCTTTTTTTTTTTTTTTTTTGAGACGGAGTTTCACTCTTGTTACCCAGGCTGGAGTGCAATGGCGCGATCTTGGTCCACCGCAACCTCCGCCTCCTGGGTTCAGGCAATTCTCCTGCCTCAGCCTCCTGAGTAGCTGGGATTACAGGCACGCGCCACCATGCCCAGCTAATTTTTTTTTGTATTTTTAGTAGAGACGGGGTTTCACCATGTTTACCAGGATGGTCTCGATCTCTTGATCTGTGATCCACCCTCTTTGGCCTCCCAAAGTGCTGGGATTACAGGCTTGAGCCAACGCGCCCGGCCGAGATATATCTTTTATTTGACTTCTTCTCATGGTCTCCACTGCTACTGTCTGCTTTTACTTGGGCTATTGTAACTCATTTTAGAACTGGTTTCCTTATAATTTATTGTTCACATGTTCATCAGAGTGATCCTTAAATCACATTTTAGAAACTTCTCAGTGGCTGTATCACCTCCTGCCATTCCTTTTGTCCTGCTGCACAGGCTTCTTGGAGATACGGACCATATCTGTTTTGTTCACGGCTGTGTTGTTTGATGCATATCTCTAGGGTCTTGGATATGCCTGGCCCATGATGTTGCTAAATATTACAGAAATAAGTATAGCATTAGCTTGCTTTCCACTAGGTATTTTGTTACATAGTGTTTCTTAAGTTAATTGTTGATGGGCCTACATTTTTTTTTATTGTGATAAAAGTTAGGCAGTGTACATTTTTTTAAATACCAAAATTTTCCACTTATTTAATAGCAGGTATTTATTGTGTGTAAGAGTTCCTGTGAAAGGGAGTACAGTGCGCAAATTGCCTGAACAAGCCATGGAGCACACAGGCTTGTTTTTCCCTGCTAGATTATAAACTCTGCAGGGTAAATACTTTGTTTTGTTTAGTGCACTGGATATGGCAATGCATAGAAAAATTTCTGCCACATAATAAGCCATATATATATATATATATCTCTCATATATGTAAAAGCTATATGTATCTTTATATATATAAGATAAAAACCATATATCATATATATAAATCGATATATAGGTATATATATATGTGTGTGTATATATCTTATATATAAAAGCTATATATAGATATATAAGCTATATATATAAAAGCCACACACACACACACACACACACACACACACACACTTATATATATATATATATATATATATATTTTTTTTTTTTTTTTTTTTTGAAATGGAGGCTCACTCTTGCCCAGGCTGGAGTGCAGTGGCGTGATCTCGGCTCATTGCAAATTTCACCTCCTGGGTCAAGCGATTCTCCTGCCTTAGCCTCTTAGGTAGCTGGGACTACAGATGCATGCCACCATGCCCAGCTAATTTTTGTATTTTTAGTAGAGATGGGATTTCACCATATTGAGCAGGATGGTCTTGATTTCCTGACCTCATGATCCACCTGCCTTGGCCTCCCAAAGTGCTGGGATTACAGGTGTGAGCCACCTCACCCATCCTCAGTATATTTTAAAAATAGGAACATATACAAGGAGGAGGTCTTCATCTAGACTGAGGAAGTGATCCATAGACTGGGACCTTAGAGTAGGAGAGAACTAGGCCAAGAGAGGGAAAAACTGAGGCAGAGGAAGGAGCATGTGAGAAGAACCTGGAGGCAGGAAGGAGCTTAGTGATTTCTGGGGTTTGAGAAAAGCCTAGTGGCTGGAAGTGAGCAGAGGCCGGATCATTCAGGGCTTCGTAGGCCAGGAGAAGGAGTTTTAGATAGTATCTTGAAGGCAATGGGAAGCTTTGGAGGATTCACCAAGGATACATTGGTGAAATCTAGTATATACCTTCAAGATATATTAGAAGGTAGAATTGATAGACCTGGTAATAGTTGATGGGGGGCTATAGCGGGTAATGCCCAGCATTCTGGCTTGGGTGAATGCCAGTGACATTCACTGAGATGGGTGAGCAGCTTAGTGGAGAAGACACGGAGTTCTTGTTTTGATCATGTTAAGTTGGAAATGTCTGTGAGGCGTGGGGTAGAGATGTCATCTGGGCTCTCCGTTCTGGGGTCAGGAGAGCGCTCTGGGCCAGACGTATGCATGTAGCCAGGGCATGGTGTGTGTGGAGGGGAGTGGAGGTTGATAGTTCAGACAGGAGGAAAGAAGAGGGCTCGAGAGAGAGCACTGACAAAGTAGATACTCCCTCCGTGTCGTAGGAGCTGGCGAAGAGTCTGTGAGCAGGAAAACCAGCAGAGTGTGTGTTACTCTTCTGGACAAATACAACATTTTTTGAGAAGCACTTTTTAGAAAAGTTGAAAAATATAAGAAAACTTCAAGATGAAAATATAAATTATCTTTAATCTCACAGACATAATATCTACTCTGATGTGTGAACTTCCAGTTTTTTAAAACATATATACTGTATCAGAAAATGGAGTTATACTTTATATGCTTTTATTATCTATTTCACTCTCTTTAATAATACTTAATGACTGTCTTCCTTACTATACATGTTCCTGCAACTTCCATTTATAAGGGCCTTTTGGTATTCTAGCAAATATGTCTGCCATAATTAGTTTTTAGAAAAGACCTATAAAACTTTTAAGTTGATTTTTATATTTTCGTTATTATAAACAAGCATTCTATAAACAACTTTTATTACATATCCATGATGATTTTCTGAGGATCAATGTCTGGAAGTGGTAAAATAGACTGCAAGTTTTAGTTTTTCTTCACTGTGAATTGTCACATTGTTCTAGAAAGTTTGTGCTAATTCATGGAAATTCTTTAGTGATCACTTTTTTTAAATGAAGCAGTTCTTTGCAATGAGACTTCTTAAAAGGATGTGTCTGTCTGATTTTAAAATGCAGTATGTGAATAGGAGTAACAAGAGCTCAACTAAAGTTAACTGGCATTAGGTAGATTCCATGAGAGCTAAGTGTTTTTCGATTTTAAATGAATAGTGATAAGTAGTTAGTGTTCAACGTTTGGATAATATCAGTTATTAGGAAATTAAAGTTTTGAGGATGAAGAGACAAATTCCAGAGTTTTTTCCATTAACAATTCTCCCAGATATTAGCATTTGGTTAAACCAAGCACTTAAGGGAGTCCGGGATCGCCATGGGAACTCAATAGAAAATGCTCATCTTCTCACTTTGTTCCATCGGCTCTGCAAACTCTTATTTTTTCGAATTCGTCCTATTTTTGTGTTTGATGGGGACGCTCCTCTATTGAAGAAACAGACTTTGGTAAGTGTCACCTAGTTTTTGGTAAGTGTCAAATAAGTTTTTTCTTTTTGCATTCTTAGAGAAGTTCACATAAAATTTTTGTTTTCTCTTTAGAATTTTAGAAACAGACATTTTGACACATATTCAGTTTACTTACATCTGCTTTTTTTTTCTTATCCTGAACAATTAATTTTTCATTTAAAAAATTTTTATGAGAGTTCATCATGGGTACAATGATAAAATTTAACTTTTAAATACAACTAACTTCTAAAACCTTTGCAGTTGAGACTTTTCCCTTTAGAGGATCTTGTTAGGTATTCTATATTTATTTCAAGGATGTCGCCATCACTCAGAACACTGTGGGAACCCTCCGGGAAGTGCCTCCCTGAATCTGAGAGCAGGTATCCTCCATGATAGCAAGTCTTCTTTTAAGGGGAATTGGATTTTAGGAGGAAGTGATGCTATGTGGTGCCAAGTGATGACAAATGGATTATCTAGGAAGGAAATTGAGCATGATGTAGAAGAATGAGAATGCGTTGCTGCTTTATTGTTCTGGAAGTAGTTTTTAAAAATGTTTTTGGAAGGCTGGGGCAGGAGGATTGCTTGAGCCCAAGTCTATATTTGGCAACACAAGGAGACCCCATCTCTAAAAAAGTGTCATAAAATAATGTTAAAGCAGTCCAAATGACAGCACCCATTTGGATATATGACTTTCATATGTTGAAAATTCCAAAGTAATGAAATGACGACTTTTGTCATCATACCAGACAGAGACTGTCTAATTAAGTGAGGATATAGGATAAAAGTAAAACTTTATAAATTCTGGGGGGCATTTGTTGCCTCAGTAAGAGTTTCTAGACTTGAATGTTGCCGTTTTCAGTTACCCAAGGCATACCTGATATATAAAAGTCACATATCAGGTACTTTGTGGAAGGATTAGAAAGGAAAAGAGAATATCTTGGCTATTTTGTATCTGATATTAAGCTATAAGCACAGGACTATCCATTTGTCCCTTCTTGAACATTTCTTACAAGATATTTCTATACCTTTTAGAATTTCTCATGATCTATAATCTTGAATGTTGAAGGGAAGATTTACGTATAAGTAATGCATGTTTATAAAAAGCAATATTAGAAATTGTTTTTGGTGTAACAGTGACATTTTAAAGAATAAATAAAGATTTCTTTTTTGGGAAGTATTTACTTGATTATATATCATTAAGCTTTCCATTTCTTGGGCATATTAAAGGACACTTAAAAGAAACTGAAAGTAAATTAATAGTTCCCCAGATGCATTGTATAGTAGCCCATGAAGTAATAGGCGGAAACTCTAGGTGTCCTTTATGTAGCAGCAACCTGCAGGTGTTTGTTGATACGGCAGTTAGGAGGAAATGCTAAAGCAGCTGTAGTCTAGAAATTCAGACAAACCAAATTCTATGGGAAATCACAGCCATGTTTCTAATGGTCTAATATCCCCAAATGAGATCTTACATCCTTTCTTCCCATAGGCGAAGAGAAGGCAGAGAAAGGACTCAGCATCCAGTGACTCCAGGAAAACGACAGAGAAGCTTCTGAAAACATTTTTGAAAAGACAAGCCATCAAAACCGCCTTCAAAAGCAAAAGGCAAGAGGAAAATTATAGTCATGTTAGAGATGAAGTTTTAGAACAGTGATTTTTTTCTTGGATTCCTACGGTTCCCTTTCCCTGTCTAATTTTAACTCTCAACAGAAAGTAGAGAGTGAAATGAGACAAGTAGGCTGGGACTTGACCCTGGTAATGTGAAGGGTTGGCAATTCTCCATTTTGTGAGAATCAACTTTGCTCATGAGAAAGAAAAGCTGTCGTGTTGCGTCGTGTACACTTTTTACTTTCATTCTGCTCTTCTCCTTGACTCTAGGTGAGCAGCCGCTCCACGTTTCCTTCCTTTCTCTTGGCTGTACTTATTTTCCACAGCAGTGGCCCGAGGGGAGCCCGTTCAGGTCCCCGTTCACCACCCCGAGCAGGGTCTATGTAACCAGTGGGGAAGTATTATCGACTCAGAATACTGTTTCGTATTATCTGTTTAAAGGTTTGTGTACTTTGCAGAGATGAAGCACTACCAAGTCTCACGCAAGTCCGAAGAGAAAATGACATTTATGTTTTGCCTCCTTTACAAGAGGAAGAAAAACATAGGTAAATGTTGAACTATTTAAGAATATTATTTTAGTCATTGCTACATGATGTGTTATCTACATGGTACGGCATGTGAAAATTTTTTAATGCATCTGAAATAGGCATGCTCTATAACCTTTTAGAATATTTTTCAAAGACTAAATTTTTTATTTACTGTTCTTTTGTTTTGGTGATTCATGATCCTTATTTCTTTTCATTCTGAAGAACTTCTGCCAGGACAGTGGATTTAAAATTCTCCAAGGCATGACTTTTAGTTTTGCTTACACGTGCTGTTTCTAGCTGCTTCTCAATCCATGGTCTCTCTCACCATGATGCTAAATTACCACCACCCATGACATCCTTGTTGCCAAATCTAGCAGATGCTTTGCACTTCTCAGTGTGCTTGACTTCTCTGCCCTAAACACCAAGCCACACTGCTCTGTTCCCCTGGCATCTCTCTGGCGTTTCTACTCAGTCTCTTTGTGGACTCCACTTCCTCTGTCTGTCTCCTAACTGTTGGCAGCTTCTGTATTTGAAGTGACGTTGGAGAACCAGAAGGCTTGACAGTTTGCCTTTGTCCCGTCCTTCCCTCCACTTCTTCCTTTCCCAGGAGTTCCCAAGAAACAACTTAACTTTTGAATCAGCTCAGTTCTCTTTGTCTCCATTGCTACCATCTTCATTTTTTCTCCAGGTTACATTATTAGCTTTTAAATTTCTTTCTGTCTTGATCTTTGATCTTACCCTTTTTGTAATAACTCCTCCCGTCAAGCCCAATCTCTGTTTTGTGTTATAGTCTGTTTGAAATCCAAATCTCATATTGTCATTTCCTTACTTAAAACACTTTCTAGCTTCTCATTTCTTTTTTTCTTTTTTCTTTTCTTCTTCTTTTTTTTTTTAAAATGAGACGAAGTCTGTCGCCCAGGCTGAAGTGCAATGGAACAATCTGAGCTCACTACAACTTTTGACTCCTGGGTTCAAGTGATTCTCCTGCCTCAGCCTCTGGAGTAGCTGGGATTATAGGTGCCCGCCACCACACCTGGCTAATTTTTGTATTTTTAGTAGAGACAAGGTTTTACCATGTTGTCCAGGCTGGTTTCGAACTCCTAACCTCAAGTGATCTGCCTGCCTCAGCCTCCCAAAGTGCTGGGATTACAGGTGTGAGCCACCCACACTCGATGTGGCTTCTCATGTCTTTAGGATAAAACTTTAACTCCTTAATTATACTTTCCAGTCTCATCCCTTCCTTTCTTCACATCATCCATAGGCAAGCTTTCATTTCCTTGTTTCCAGACGGTTATAAAGCTTAGTTCTTTTGCCTGGAACACTTCTCCGTGAACCTCCCCACTCCCTCCAACTAGACTCCTCATTTATTTGTGGCTAACTCCAGCCAGTGTAATTGCAGGAGATCCTGGAAGGCTTTTGTGACTCCTCTAAATTGGGGTGAGCTGACTCCCTATTGCACCTCTAGCAACCCACACTTCCCTTGTGGTGGAAGTTATCAGATCCCATTGTAACTACTTACTTACAAGGGTCCCCCAACAGACCGCAAGACCAGTGGTGGCACAGATCTTGCTGTTTTATCCATCGTAGTAGCCCCTATAATGAGCAGCACCTTAAATACATTATTTTTGTAAGTAGTCATTAAAAATCATAGATACCATAAATATATGTTTGACTTTCAGTTCAGAAGAGGAAGATGAAAAAGAATGGCAAGAAAGAATGAATCAAAAACAAGCGTTACAGGTATTTAGTTTATTTTTGAATTCAGGATGTATTGTTATTTGAAATGAATGACGTGAAAATGAACAATATTAATGAGGTATATAAAACTATGGAAGTTCCTGATAAAAAGTAAAGACAGAGGCCTTTTTGATTGTGTGTGCATATATATGTGTGCATGTATCTATACAAATACATACCAATACACACACACACACACACACACACACGCACACATGTATATGGAATTTGCCATTACACACATCTAGGTATTCAAAATAAGCTATTTTTCTTTTACAACCAACTAGCCAACCAGTCAAAAGTAATATGTACTTACATAAAAAAATACAGAAAACATATCATTCATAAATAACTTTTAGTAACATTTTGATGTATTTTTGTCCATTCTTCCCCTGCCTGTGTTTGTATTTGGATATGTATATATGTATCAAATGTACATGTGTTGCTGTTTTGGGTTTCAGGGGAGCGCTTAGCTTGCTCCCAGTAGGCTCCAGGCTCTTGGTCCCTTGCTGTCTCAAGAATGAGAGAGGGGACCATGGCAGGTGCCCTCGTAAAGTGAACACCAGACCCCTTTTTCTCTTTCTCTGCCTAAATAAACTTTACCAGGTTCCCTAGTAAAGTGTTTGCAGGAGATGATTTATTTAGGCAGAGAAAGAGAAAAAGGAGAAAGAGAGAAATCTTCCATGAGAGAGGGTGTGTGGAAGGGGACCCCAGAGGGGAAATCCGCCCAGACGAGCGAGACAGGGACTTTTAACCTGGGAGGAATTCCCACCTTCTCTAAGTTCCCTTGCCAATGAAAGGAGTTCCTTTGAACTTCTGCTGGAGTGATTGACTTTTGAACCTTTCCTGCACCGCAAAAATTAAAACGGAAACTGTTAAATCTCCTGGATGGAGAGGCACGGGAAGGGGGCATGGTGCTGGGAAGTTCTTGCCCTTAAAACTACGCCCCCTTGTGGACCCAGAAAGAGAACACATTCCCTCGCATGCATACATGTATATGTGTATACGTGTGTGTATGTTCTAGTTATCTGTTGCTGTGTAACTTAGTGGTGTAAAACATCATTTGTTATCTTCTAGGGTTCCGGGGGTTGATGAGCTCAGCCAGGCAGTTCTCTCTGGAGTCTCTTGTGTAGATGCAGCCAGTCTATAAGTGGAACTGGAGTGGCTTTCAAGGCTTCCTTGCTGCCATGGGCGGTGGTTGACACTGGCTGTCGGCCAGACTTCCATGCGGTGGGCACCAGAGCACCTGCTTGTGGCCTCTCCACATGGCCTGGTCTTTTTCCCAGCCTGGTGGCTGTGTTTCGAGGGTGAGCATCCCAGGAGAAAGTTCCACGCGGAAGCCCTGTGGCCTTTTCCACCTAGCTTTGGAGGTTGTGCAGCCTCCTTCCCACCACACCCTGTTCCTCAAGCTAATTACTAAGGCCAGCTCCTATGTAAGGGGCAGAGAGGTAGACAAGAAGAATGTCCCACACATGTTTTCGTGAGTAACATTTTTACAAATTGAAGCTGTGCTGTATATATATATATTTTTTTTTTCATAAACAGCTTTTTCAGTTTCTTAGTGTTTGCAGATAACATTTTTTGATCTCCAAATTCACTGTTTCTTGTTTGTTCATATTGTTTTGCTATATCAGGTGGAAGATTTTCGAGCTAAAATCTCAAGATCCTTCAGGTTGCAGAAGTCCTGTGTTATTAATGCAGCTAGTGAGAGCGATCTTAGTTAAGACCTTGGGCCTCGTAGTCAGAAAGACCTGCGTTTCTATCCAGGTTCCACTGCTCACTAGCTGTGTGATCAGACAGATTAAATTCTCCAAGGCTTTATTTATTTATTTTTTTGTAAAACAAAGTTGTTATCAATGCTGTCCTGATAGGGGTGATGGGAGCTTTAGTGAGAGAAAGCACAGGAAACACTGCGTGCAGTGACAGATCTGTCCTGTGTGTTGTTGGTTGGTACATGCTCAAGCAACATACAGACATGCAGGACAGCAGGTTGTATTAGCTTATCTTTTTTACTAATGAAGTATTTTAAAGTACTTTTGGTAATGAGTTAAAATTGAGAAAAGCTTTATACTTTTCCACGTCTTTTGTGAATTTCTCACTTTTAATTTTGTTTTTTATTTTATGTTAAGAGCAAAATAAAACTAAATTAAGGGAATTATATATATTGCTTGAATTCCTAAGCCTCATTCTGTCTTGGGTCCTTGCATTTCCTGTTTTCCCAGCCTAGAATGTTCTGTCCTCAACTAGGCTCTTTGATATTTTTCAAGTCCCTGCTCACACATCCTCTTTTTAGTGTCTTCTTTATCTGTCAAACAAATCTTTTTTTTCCTCTATCTGTTCACCTAATCACTCTCATATCAGATAAATCTGCTTTATTTTCTTAACCATTATCATGTTCATTTATTTATTTATGTATTGTCTGCTCTCCTCTACCCCTAAGAGCAGGGACCTTATCTGGCATGTTATCTGATCTCACAGTACCTTAGCACCTAGAACAGTGCCTGGTGCCTTAGAGGTACTTGCTAAGTATTTTTTCTTTTGAATGAATGAAAGAGTGAATGGTTACATTCCCTAATTTGCCTACGCACTTTGTTACCTGTCACAGATTATATGCAACTGTGTTTAGCCAATTGTGGATTATGTAGAGTTGTATTTATTATATACAGTAAATATCCCTAATGGTGACTAGAACTAAGTGTACGAAATGTACATTTCATGGTGCTGTGTTTTACTCTTTACAGGAAGAGTTCTTTCATAATCCTCAAGCGATAGATATTGAGTCTGAGGACTTTAGCAGCCTGCCCCCCGAAGTAAAGCATGAAATCTTGACTGATATGAAAGAGTTCACCAAGCGAAGAAGAACATTATTTGAAGCAATGCCAGAGGTGAAATACACAACAGTACATTCATGCTTAGAATTAAGAACTTGAAGAAAACTTTTTATTAGAAAGACAAAATTGATAAGCAGTACTTACATGATATCTCAGTTAACTGTAAACTGTATTTCTGTATCTCAGAGAGTCTGTGAAGCATTGCATATTTATAAGCTTAATTGTACAGACGTTTACTCTAAGAAGTCTTTCTTGACTTTTGACCCAAGACTGGGTTTTTTCTCCTGGTCTTTGTTCTCACAGTGTAATGTCAGTTTATAGTTCTTAGCTCCAAAACATGCTTATCCTGCTCACCTCTGTATTTTCAGCGCCTAGCTCAGTATTTTTCACATGACATTAGATGCTTCCTGACTCAATTCTTAGGTTAGTTCATTAAAGTTATGGTAGCCTGTAATATACATTGTCTATAAAAACTAGTAGTAATAGGGAGTCTAACCACAATGGAAAAATATGTCCTAAATTGAAATTCAAAGTGTATCTTCCTCTGTGCAGCCCTAGAAATGCCACTGGGTCTCCACATTTTGCCACATTCTTTCTGGACAGTGGGAATGGGGCATCTTCACCTTGGAACGTCTCGTGGCTCTGCAGGCCCAGAAAGCTAGAGTGGAGGTGGTGTGTGTGGTTATGTCTCCTGATCATACTGCCACTGATACTTAATTCATGTTACTATCGATCACTCGCTGTCTTAGTTGCCAGTGACTGAGTTCTTTTTCTCTTGCTATTGCTACTATGTGTCATTTCTACGATAGTTCTCCTTTTACCCATTGTAGGACAGAATAGAAATTTTGCAGTATCATTGACCTTAGTGAGTAGATGGGAGTGTTTCTTATTTTCTACACTTTTTGAATATTGCTTAAATTGGTACCAGAAATATGAAAAGGGAAGGATAAATTTCTTTTTTCATCACTCTCTCTGTTTTTTCCACAAAGAATGTGAAGTAGCACACACTGAGGTGCACAGAGGTGATGTTCTTGGGTCTTTGGATATACAAAGGACAGAAATAAGTTGATTTTTATTTCAGGAGAAAAGTGCAGCCTCAGTCTGTCAGGCATTTTATTTCTTGAGTGTGAGAGGATCTCTGTGTGACAGTTGAGGAAATAGAATTTTGCTTGTATCAACAGTAGTAGGAAGAAATGTAAGAAAGAGAGACAGTCCCTAATGAGTTACTGTTCTTTATTTTCTTTCTGCAACCATGAAGTGTCTAGGAGTGGTGAACTGTGGGGTGGTGTAGAGTAGCAGCTTGTTGGATTTGTAATTTTGTTAGAGATGTTCTAAGTCATCCATGTTGGGCCTTTGTATCATCTGTACATTGTACAAATGTAATATTGGTAACAGTAGTGATGGTAGGTAATAGCAGTAGTAATAATCATAATGCAATAATTCCATCTTACTCAGCGTTTTGGTTTCTGCAGTTTTCAGAGACCTGTGGTACACTGTGGTCTGAAAATGTTAAATAGAAAATTTCAGAAATAATTCGTAAGTTTTAACTTGCATGCCCTTCTGAGTAGCGTGATGAAATCTCATACCCTCCTGCTCCATCTTGCCTGGAACGGGGATCCTCCTTTTGTGTAGCTTCTCCATACTGTATATGCTTCCTGCCTGTTAATCACTTAGTCGCTGTCTCGGCCATCAGGTCGACTGTCGCGATATTGCAGTGCTTCTTCTCAGGTCACTCTTACTTGACTTAATAATGGCTCGACAGTGCAAAAGTATGATGCTGGCAATCTGCATATGCCAAAGAGAAGCTGTAGAGTGCCTCCTTTAAGTGAAAAGGTGAAAGTTCTTGACTTAATAAGGAAAGAAAAGAAATCGTATGTTGGCTGAGGTTGCTAAGATCTTCAGTAGAAATGACTTTTATATCTATTAAATTATGAAGAAGGAAAAAGAAATTGGTGCTGGTTTTGCTGTCGCACCACAAACTGCCAAAGTCATGACCTCAGTGTGTGATAAGCGCTCAGTTAATATGGAAAAGCCATTAAATTTTTGGGTGGGAGACATGAACAGAAACATGCTCTGATTGATGACAGTCGGGTTTGGTACTTTCTGCAGTTTCAGGCGTTCTCTGGGGGACTTGGAACATATCCCCAAGGATGAGGGGGCTGTCTACTATATTAATAGAATCAATTATAGTAAATTGATAGGCTTTTGATCCCAGATCTACCACTTATTAGCCCTGTGACTCTAGGGAGGTTACCTAACCTATTTAAGTCCCGATTTGTTCACTTATAAAATGGAGGTGCTATCTGTTTCAGAGGATGATTGTGAGAGTAAAATGAGGTATTTTATGTAAAAGCACTTAGAAAAATGCCGTCAATGGGAAATGCCTTATAATGTTAAGTATTACTATTATTAACTGTGATTGCTGTGATTTATTGTGTCTTCTGTGGGATAAGGCTATGCTGGGCACTTTGCTTGCATATTTATCTGCATTCTAGAAGACGGCTTGTTAAGCCATAATCAAATGTCACAGTGACCACTATGCATTACATGCACAATAAATGTTTATTGAATAAATTATTAAATCATAAACAGTATTCATGATTTTTTTTTGTCCAACTCTTTTGAAGATTTTTTTTTAAAGGAGGTTATAGTTTTTCTTGTTATTCAGCTTTTATGATATAAAGCTACCATCAATGAAAAAAGCCAGTTGTTCTTTGTTCCCTGTTGGGGAAAGGGGTGGAAATATGGTAATGTTATCTGTATTTAATGTAAAACAGCAATTTTGTTTGTTTAATTTGCCTTTAGGAGTCCAATGACTTTTCACAGTACCAACTCAAAGGCTTGCTTAAAAAAAACTATCTGAACCAGCACATAGAACATGTCCAAAAGGAAATGAATCAGCAACATTCAGGACACATCCGAAGGCAGTATGAAGATGAAGGGGGCTTTTTGAAGGAGGTAGAGTCAAGGAGAGTGGTCTCTGAAGACACTTCCCATTACATCTTGATAAAAGGTATCAGGTGCCACCATTTACATATTTACAATATTTATAATAAAAATCAAAGATATGTCTTGGCTCTGAATTCTATAAACTAGCACCCCTGGATAATATTAATGAAATTCTATTTATGTAATAACTGTATACAGCTATTAATAATTACTATAGTGCCAGACCACTTTAAAATTAATGAATGAATTAACTCCTAGTTGCTGATTACGTGAAGATGTATATCCTTATTTATGAGAATGAGTGTTCTGTTATTCCTCTCACTAGAAGTGTATTGTCACACTGTAAAACTGCATGGTGAGAAGTGTTTTAATTCTTCTTAAGGTATTCAAGCTAAGAAAGTTGCAGAAGTGGATTCAGAATCTCTTCCTTCTTCCAGCAAAATGCACAGCATGTCTTTTGACATGAAGTCATCTCCATGTGAAAAACTGAAGACAGAGAAAGAGCCTGATGCTACCCCTCCTTCTCCAAGAACTTTACTAGCTATGCAAGCTGCCCTGCTGGGAAGTAGCTCAGAAGAGGAGCTGGAGAGTGTAAATCGAAGGCAGTCCTGTGAAGGGAATGAACCTGCTACTGTAGACGAAGGCTCCATATCACCCCGGACTCTTTCAGCTATTCAGAGAGCTCTTGATGATGACGAAGACGTAAAAGTGCATGCTGTAGATGAGGTGCAGACAGGAGGACCAGGATCAGAACTGCGTATAAACTGCTCCACTGAGGACAGTGATGAAGGACTTAAAGTGAGAGTTGGAAAAGGAATGCCCTTGACTGCGACACTCGCGTCATCTAGTGTGCACTCTGCAGAGGAGCATGTAGCCAGCACTAATGAGGGGAGAGAGCCCACAGACTCAGTTCCAAAAGAACAAATGTCACCTATTCACGTGGGGACTGCACCCTTTCCAATAAGTGATGAGTCTATGGTTAAGGACAGAAAAGATCAGCTGCCTCTGAAGAGCACAGTGGTTAGACATAGTGACACACTTGGGCTCCTAAATGGAAAGGAACTGACACCGGCACCTCCAACTCTTATGAGTTCTGTGTCAAAGAACGAAACACATGCCAGCGTGCTTGAGCTACAGAAACAGCTTGGCCCATCTGAGAGTAAATATGGTTCCTCTGTTCTTTCAAGTGATGATGAAACAGAATGTGAACCATATCCTGCTTCTGAAGTCATTGGCTCTGTCGGTTTGCAGGAAATGAGTAGCATAGTAAGTGTCCCTTCAGAGACAGTAGGCAACTTAGAAAATGTGGTGTCATTTAATGCTAAAGAACAGGAGAATTTTCTGAAAACCATTGAAGAACAGCAGGCCATTGAATCTGCAGGCCAGAATTTAATTTCCATTCTAAAGCCCATGGATTCAGTGGAAATTGACTCAGAAGAAAGTGAATCTGATGGTATGTATCTGTGCTTTTGTAGAAATTTGGAATGGTAGGATTTCACCTCTGTAGGAACTGAGGGATCCTTTAGTGTAGTCCCGTTTTTACTTTTTACAGATAAGGAACAAGAGACTTGGAAAGAAAGGTGAAACGGCTTTCCCAGGGACACGCAGCTGGTAATGGAATCTTGACCCTCCCTGTGTTGCTCTGCTTTTTGTTATTATTTTTAAAGGATGGAGTGCCCTAGTTGGGGATAGTAAAGTTGAGTTTCCCTCTAGTTTTTAAAAAGTTTTTATTTTGAAATAATTATTAACTTTAAAAAGTTGGAACAATATTATAAAACACTGTTTCCTTCACCCAGTACCTCAGTGGCTAGCATGTTACCACATTAGCTTATCACTTCTCTTGGCCCCTCTGTGGCCCTCTATATGTGTATCATATGTCTCCAAATCTGTATACACATATATACCATTGATCTCATTATTTGTAGATTCCATATTTGCAAAATTGCGTGATCACTAAAATATATTTGTAACTCCAAAATCAGTACCCACTGTGTCTTTGTGGTCATCTGTGGATTTGGGGAAAAGCTTGAGTTGCCACACTGTCTCCCGCTGAGGTTGAGAAGGTGACACTCTGCCTTGTTCCCGTGCTCTGAGAGAGATGACCAGAAGCCCCGGGCCAGTTGGACTAGATTTGAATCCCTATTCTGGCACCTGTTAGTGTGGCAGCCTCAGGCAAGTCACCAATTTGTTTCTTGAACTTTATTTCTTGTTTATACAATAAATGGAATCTACTAAGATGGCAGTTTTTAGGATTTAGGATAATATATATGAAATATGTTCATATATATGTTATCTTTGTGTAATATATGTATATATGTGTATGTATGTGTATATATACACATATACATCTATACATATATATAACATCTATACATATATAACATCTATATATACATATATAATGTGTATGTATGCACAAATACGTGTTAGATATATAACACAATACACACGACATATACATGTCATATATAACACACATAACACGTTATATATGTATACACACATGTATACATATATGTTATATATGTATGTGTATATGTATACACATATGTGTACACATACACCCATATACACATATATAATGTGTACACATACAACATATATATTGTATATGTGTATATATACACATGTATATGTCTGCATACATATGTGTTATATATGTGTCTATATGCATATACATATATGTGTGCATATGTGTATACGTGTGTGTATATGTATATATTTATATATACACATATATATGTTTAAGAGCAGTGGCTCAGTGTTGGTTAATTTAGTGTTCACAGAGACTTCATAGATGACTACTTTGAAAAATGAGAATCAAATCCCCCACTACACATACACACATGCAGTTTGTTCCTGGTTTCTGCTAGTTTTCTTCATTCAAAAGTTACCATTTCCCTTTTATAATTAATAAGTATTTTGTGGGAAAGGAATTTTTGTAGCTATGTAAATATGCTGTTCCCAAATTTTCACCCACTTGTTTTAGCAGTCATTGATTTTAACATGAATAATTTGTTACTATGTTGATTGCCAAATGACGGTTTTCTAACTCTGTCATTCCTTATATATTATTACTTGATATCCTTCTATGAGGAAGATTTTTTTCCTTTTCCTCATTTATTATTGTTATTTTTAATCAGCGTAGACTCCTGTATTCCTATTTTATGTAGTGAGTTATAATCCAATACTGTCATAATTTACTCTGTTGCTCAAATTGTCCCAGCTTTGTCCAGTGGGGGCTCCTTCTAATAGCTTGTAACAGTTTCCCATTATATTTTGAGCCTTTCCTTACTTTCTGGCCAAGCTGTTCCAAGCATATCTTGAACTTACTGTGCCCTGGTCCTAGAACCAGCCATTTCACCAGGGAGCTCTGGTTCCTTTCAGTGGAGCATGGGGTTAGACACCACAAACTATGGATGTGGGTGTGCTTATGGATCCTGAGGTGTAACTGTCTCAGGCCTTTTCGGCAAGAGAGCCAGGAAGTATATTTATGTAGACATATACATGCACACACTTACGCAAACATACCTCTATATTTTTGTCCATCTGTATTAAAATCCATGAGTTTATACCGATATCTGCAGTTCCAATTCAGTATCACGGGGTTCAGTCTAGCCTCCCACTTTTTTTATAGTTTTCCTAACAATGAGACACATTGCTTCCCTTATCTTCAATATATTTGTATCTGCTTATTCTCCCTCAATTTGTAACCATCTCCGCCTCCCACTGGCCTTCTCCTTGGCCCTGCTGTCTTCTTAGCTCCAGCTGTGTCCTTGGTGCCAGCTCCCAGACCCTGAGAGCCCCTTCCTCTGTTCCAAGTGTCTCTTTAAACCCAGCTGGACAGGCTTTGCTAGCCCTCTCTACCTGCAGGGAAGGAAGGGAACCAATAAATATATTTTGAGGAGAGGGAAGGACAGTAAGAGAGGCGAGAAGGGAAGTGGAAGAAGAAGAACTATTTCTGAGTCACAACTTTATTCTGGGCTGTGTGAATAGCGTAAAAACATATTGAGCAACTTCTGTGATTGTATACTTTGATAATTCTCCCTTTGAATTTTTAAAACAATGTCAGTTAGCTTAGAACATATTTATATAAAGCAAATATGCAAATCTTAAGAGAGTTTCCTACTTTCAAAGACAGTGCCAGTTTACCTAATTGAAAAGGCTTGTTTCGAAGTTACAGACATTTGTGATCACATTTATTTAATAATAATGCTACTATTACATGTTTTCTGTTATAGTCAAATCTTTCCTTTTTAGGGTATAGCATTTTTCAGGATCCTCTAGAAAGTTTTTGATTATTGCAGGATAATTTTAATGTTTTGGATGTAGATGAAGTGACCTTTATTTTGGTACAGGAAGTTTCGTTGAAGTGAAGAGTGTGATTAGTGATGAAGAACTTCAAGCAGAATTGCATGAAACTTCCACACCTCCCTCAGAACAAGGTGAAGAGGAACTGATAGGAACTAGGGAGGAAGAAGCCCCTGCTGAGTCTGAGTGCCTCCCGAGGGACAGCTCTGAGAGGGAGGATGAGGATGGTGAGCCACAGGAAGCTGAGAAAGATGCGGAAGAGTCACTCCATGAATGGCAAGATATCGATTTGGTAATACTGTAACATTGTGTTTTCACTTCTTGCTGAGGAAGCCACGTTAAGTAGGTTTTGAGTTTTAAGGAGTTGCTGTATGACTATTTATTAGCTATTTGCAGTACATCTTGTGGTTGCTGATGGCTTCGTTTTTGTGTAGATTACTGCCTGGGATAGACTCCATTTTCCATGTGGTTTACAGAGTCTTGCTTAGAAATCCAGTGGAGTACTTCATAAGGAGAAAGAGCTTATTGGTAATTTCAGTCAGACTGATTGCAGGCTTTTCGTAACAAATGAACTCATTTGGATTATTAATATAAATCTACAAATGAAAAAACATTTTATAGGAGGAGCTGGAAACTCTGGAGAGCAACCTCTTAGAACAACAGAATTCACTGAAAGCTCAAAAACAGCAGCAAGAACGGATTGCTGCTACTGTCACCGGACAGATGTTCCTGGAAAGCCAGGTGGGTGCAGGCAGCTTGGGCCTCCTTTACCACCTTCCTCAGATCCCTGGGGGAATGCACTGCATGAAGTGAGTATACGCTTCTCTCCCTGGTGCTCAGGGCCTGGTGATGCCTTTCCCTGGGGTCACTGTGTGTCCGTAACACTGCAGGAACGAATGCATTACATGAAGTGGTCAGCACTGCTTCACCTGGTGCTCAGAGCCTGGTGATGCCCTTCCTGGGGGTCACTGTGTATCCCTAACTCTGCAGGAACTCCTGCGCCTGTTCGGCATTCCCTACATCCAGGCTCCTATGGAAGCCGAGGCACAGTGTGCCATCCTGGACCTGACTGATCAGACTTCTGGAACCATCACTGATGACAGTGATATCTGGCTGTTTGGAGCACGGCATGTCTATAAAAACTTTTTTAATAAAAACAAGTTTGTAGAATATTACCAATATGTGGACTTTCACAATCAATTAGGTAAGACTTCAGCGTCTTTTTGATTACTTTCTGACACTTACCTTCAGAATTTGTCCTAGGTATTTTTTGTTTCCAAGGAAGTAGTTTGATGCATTGATGGAAATCACAAACTTTCACAGAACTGATCTTTGGCTTATATAGAGGAAAAGGATTTTAAACAGTCGAATTAAGGAATTAAAGTCCTAGTATGTTTAGGCAGTTAATCATCTGACTTAGTTAAACTTTGACTAGTTACCCGAGATCTCCAGAGTGAACCAGATGGTGGAGAGGGGATGTAGAGGGAGTTACTCCTGTGCCCGGGCCTGTATTCGGGTTTCTAGCATTGATGTTCTTCTGTTCATCCAGCAAATGCATATTTGGTGACTGCTATATGCTACTTGTTCTTAACAAGGAGTAAAGAGCAGAGAGTAAAATAGTAGGAGAAACAGATGATAAGCAGATACTTAAGTCATAATTTGACGTGAAAGAAAATATAGCAGTAAAGGAGAGGAGAGAGTGAGCTTCAGGCACCGGGAATGCAGGTGCTGTTTCAGAGAGAGTTGTTGGGAAAGGCTTTACTCATGCAACTTCAGGGCAGGGGCCTGCAGGATATAGGAAGCCAGCACTTAAGATAGATACCTCGGGACTAGTGAGTGAAAGGGGCTGAGGCAGAAGCTTGTGTGATGTGTTCTAGGGAAGCAGGGAGGCCAGTGTGAGAGGAGGAGGAAGGAAATGGCAAAGTTAATGTGAGAGAACTGGAAGACACCGAAATCCGCCAGGGTTCTCGTGTGCTGGGGTGTGCAGGTGGATTGGGTGTGGGGCGGGAGAAGAGTGAAGTTGAGGAGTCTTCCAGGTACTGAGCAGCTGGTCGGGTGGACCTGCCTTCAATAAGACAAGGAAGGAGCAGAGTGGAGAAGGAGAAATGAAGCGTTCAGGTTTGAATGTGATAAATTGGAGATGCTCATTGGATACCCAGTGGCGGTATTGTGATAGTTGAATATATGTGACTGTGGTTCAGAGAGACCCAGGTTAGAAAGTTCAAAAACAGCAGCAATAACAGGTTGCTGCTGCTATCACCGGACAGATGTTCCTGGAAAGCCAGGTGGGTGCTTTCTAGCCTGGGTCTCTCTGAACCATGATGACTATTTATTATTAGCTAACTTTGGGGGTCAGCGTATAGAGGGTATTTAAAGCTATGAGAATGGATGCAACTTTAAAAATGTTAACAGAATGCCATTTAATAGAAGAATTTCTTTTCAAATAAGGTATTTTTGGTTGTCAGATATAGATACATATATATGCTTTATATGATAAAATGTTTATAAATGTTCTGTAAGAAATCTTAATAAAATAAAAATTAAAAAATATTGCTGCTCTTATAGGATTGGACCGGAATAAGTTAATAAATTTGGCCTATTTGCTTGGAAGTGATTATACTGAAGGAATACCAACTGTGGGTTGTGTAACCGCCATGGAAATTCTCAATGAATTCCCTGGGCGTGGTCTGGAACCTCTCCTAAAATTCTCGTAAGATCTTTTATTTCTTTAATTCAGATAATTGTATAAATACCCAAATAAGCAAATAGAACTATTATTTGCAGCATGAACTGCTCACTGAGAACATGAACTGTTCACAAATCATTGTTCACTGAGAAAGCAGCAGGAAGTATTGGTTGTTTGCCCTTTTCTAGAGACGATGAATTAGTCAGTTCTTTTCTTAGTGGTGCTGGGCTTATCCTTGTTCAAGGATACAGAGCCAGTCCTGTGGATTTCACAGGAACATAGAAGTTGCCCTTTCATTCAGTGACATACTTATAGAGCAGCTATGATGTCACACACTGTGCAGGCCCTGGAGAAGCGAGTAAGGCATAGGCCATACCCTCTAGGACTCCCATCCTCTTCGAGGTGAGGGAGAAGCAAGGGAAGCTGGACTTGTCTGTGTGTTCAGTGTCCTGAGAGAGGTCGGCCAGGAAGGGACGTGGAAACGTAATGTTAGGAGCGTTACATTCAGCACTCCTGTCCTGTTTCTCATCGTGTGAATCCCGTGACGTGTTCAGTGGCGATGTCTTCCTCCATCCAGAACCCAGAGCTGTGCTGTTCTTGGGGTACGTTTTTCACTGTGAAGATTCTGAGATGGTAGAGTTATGAGTATGTCTGGGAAAGTAGTTTTTTCTTTGTCCTTGATGGCATCTTTTTAAAAAAATTGAAATATAGTTCACATACCACAAAGTTCACCAATTTAAAGTGTACAGTTCAGTGGTTTTTAGCATATTTACAAGATTGTGGTGGCATCTTTTAACCATCACTATGTCGTGAGATGCTGTTTGGTGGTGGCTGATTTAATGATCCTTTCGTGTTCTCTCCAGTTACATATTTTGTGTTTGAAAGATGCTGGGATGCTCTGGTCTGAAGAGGCAGTGATAAGAATCTCTGAAATAAACTGCGAAATTGTTATAGTGATTGCAGTCTTCCAGACATAGCACACTCACCAGTGTGTTGTATTTTATTCTTTCTTCATTTCTCTTTTTCTGATTTTCTTATTGTTGAGGAAATTTATATGCTGGGAATAAGTTATTAGGTAGATATGTATCATGATAGGTAAGTAACTTGAAAACCTACCAATAACTTTATTATACAAATAAAGTACATAAAAGAAAATTATAAATATATATTAAAATGATTACAGTTTACAATTTATGTAATTTTAGACTTCTCTCCACACATGTATATGCATGTACATTGCATATATATGTATACTCATTTGAGTGTGCGTATTATACTTTTTTACAAGAATGGGATGATGCTGTGTACTTTTATTTTACCTGTAACCCGCTTGGTGTTAGAACAAGGCCTATTACCAGTGATGTATAGATTTATATCATTTTTAATGGCTCCAAGTAGTCCCTTTTTGGGTCTATCAGGACTAATTTAGTCAAATGCCTTTTTTATTTCTATTTTAAAAAAGGTATTACAAAGATTGATTTGAGTGTCCTTAATTTTTGGATTCTTATCTAATGATTATTTTAGGATAAGTGAAAATGGCATTGACATTTCCGTTTTGTTTCGTGGTAACTATTGAGAATGAATTTTTTATGTTCACAGACAGTTTGTGTTTCTGATTTAGTGAATGACCTATTTATGCTGTTGCGCTTTTCTTTGTTCAGCAGTCTTTGCTCGTGTGTTGCCTGCTGAAGCGTTTTCATATTTGAGCAGTTTCTGCCTTTGGTGTTCCAGCTCACTGACGCCAGACAGGAGCAGCCTTCGCCCTGCCTGACTCAGGACACTTAGGATGATTGCAGAGTAAAGAGCAGGAAGGGTGGTGGGAAACTGGGAAAACCAGAATGTGGCCCTGCTTTCTTTTCTGTTCCCCTCTCCTGCAGGCACCCTGGCTGGTGACTCATTTTTAGAGTGGGGCTGCATTGGGCCTGCAGGTTGAATTCAGCTGTAGTTACATTTGGTTTGGACTACACGGTGTGTTCCTCTCTTGAGCTTCAGTTTTCAATTGGCTACCAACATTTACCTTTGGGGAGATTTTACAAAAAATTATGAATTCTCTTGGACGAAAAAGGATATCTGAAAATCCTGGGGCTAAATTTCTGGCTAGTACAGCACTTGCCCTCCTCTACCCCAAGGCCTTGGACTAGGCATGAATCCTTAGTTTCATCACAGTTGCTGCCACTCCCACAGCTCAGCTGGTTGACAGGCACCTTCCTCCTTTCATCTTTATGTGAAGTGCCAGGCCCTCCTGCTTGAAGGGGTAACTGTTGCTTTGGCTTGATGAGCTCACAAGTGCACTGATTTTCCTAACTGGCAGTCGTGATTACAGTTTCAAAAATGAAAATCTGCAAGTAAAGTAGAGGAGTATTATCGGTATTCCCCCAGTGCACTCCTGCAGAGTGTTGTAAAAGTAATGAAGAAAAATTAGTTTTTCCTGTTTGCATTTGGTTATTGTAATACAATGATGAGACCACAATTAGTCATTTCCAACACTAGATGGCACTCCTCCGTTGGCCAGGCGGACCCGGGCCCGGGCAGCCGGTCTGAGTGGGTTCCTAATACTGTACTAGGAAGCTTGTGAAGCAGGGTGTGAGGTGCGGGCGTTTCTTCAGGTTCCACTGAGTGCATGAACTGATGAGGATTATGTTACTAACTTTTATGGCATTTATTTTTTCCTAGTTGTATAAATGTTTCTGGTCAGCTGTCAGTGCATTACAAACCACCTTCATTCAGCCTTAGTGGCTTCACACAGCAGTAGTTACTGATTTTGCTCATACCTCTGAAGCTTTCCCAGGCCTTGTGGGGCACCTTGTCTCTGTTTCATGTCGTCTAGGACAGCTTAGCTGGGTGCAGGGACCCCTTAAGGTGGCTGGGTGCAGGGACCCCATCGCAGGGCTGATGCGGCAGTGGCTCTTGGCCTTGGGGCCTCGCCACCTGGTTGGACACTTTGTGAGCTTGGCTTCCTCACAGCATGTTGCAGCCAAGAGCAGGAGGTCCAGGAGACAGGAAGTGGTGAGGACCTCCCCTGGGCAGCACAGCTGGCATCACACTGGTCAGCCATGGGCCCGCCCTGCTCAAGAGGAGGCTGCATGGACCTGCTTGATCATGAGAGGAGTGTCCAAGAGCCTGTTGCTGTCTTTATCTGGCCACTTTAGGCTTAGAATGGAAAACATTGAAAAATGAATAAAATATAAAGAAGAAAGTGAACAGCTGTGTTCTCACATAGAACATTGCCCAGCACACAGCCAAATAATAGTTGTTCCTGTTATTTTTTAAAATATCTGTTTACTTTTCTCAGATATGTTTTTTCCAAAATTTGAATTTACAGTTATACTTAAGTAGAGTTGTATTATCTGTTTTTATATATATATATGTGCATGTATATATATGTATATGTTATGTATATCTGTTTTTAAAATTTATCATTTTTGTGGCATATTTATATGCTATTAAATTTTCTTGGATCCATTATTGTATTTGATTTGAGATAAATAATACAGATACATTACTTCCATTTTACTGCTAAGAAATAGACCCAGAGAAGCTGTAACTTTTGTGGTATAATGATGAGTGTGGGCTCTAGAGGAAGACTGTACCAATTCTAGCTGTGAAATTTTGAGCCAGTTACTTCTTTTTGAGTTCAGTTTCCTTCTCTGTGAGGTGAGGGTAATGAGAGGACGTAGCTTGTATGATTATTGGGCATGTGAAGTATTTTAACACAGTACCAAGCACAGAGGAAGCATTCCACAAATGTTTGACATTATTATACATTGTGGCTAATACTAAAAATAATAAAATATTCTATGTATCATATAATTTGAGTTAGAACTTGAGTTTACGTGTTCTAAGTTTAGTTGTTTATCCATAGTGCATGAACCATAATGCCTTATTGTTTTGTAAGTAATTGTTTCTTTTACTTTACAGAGAATGGTGGCATGAAGCTCAAAAAAATCCAAAGATAAGACCTAATCCTCATGACACCAAAGTGAAAAAAAAATTACGGACATTGCAACTTACCCCTGGCTTTCCTAACCCAGCTATTGCTGAGGCCTACCTCAAACCTGTAGTGGATGACTCGCAGGGATCATTTCTGTGGGGGAAACCTGATCTCGACAAAATTAGAGAATATCCTTTTACTTCTGAAAACAGAAGGAAACACCTAATCGAATTTGTCTTTGTTTTAAAACTTAGGAAACAGAAACTTGGATCATTTTTTTCTTAATATCCCATTAATCCCATATTCTTAATATCCTGCTGTCTTTTCACTCCCTTTTCCCTCTCCTTAGTTGTTTTTGTTTGTTTGTTTGTTTTAAAGTGACAATGTATCACTCTATTAACCAGCCTGGAGTGTAGTGATGCAATCATAGCTCACTGCAGCCGCCACTTCCTGGGCCCAAGGGCTCCTTCTGCCTCAGCCTCCCAAGTAGTACAAGCCACTGCATCTGGCCCCTCTCCTTAGTTTTAAAGAGTATCTTTACTTGAATAAGCATTGATAAGCATTCATAGCTACAACTACATATTTATTATTTAAGTATTATTATATAATAAATTTGTTATAATTTTATTAAATATTATTGATCCCGAAAGAAAGAAAGATGACCAATCTTCTTCTTATTACTGGTTTTCTTTTCCATGTATATTTAAGTAATCATTTGGAAAGATGTTTCAAGACTTGCACTAGAATTAATCCAACTACGTTTTACTTTTTTTTCCTCAAAGAAATATGTAAGATGTCTGAAACTTGTTTTTATTCCAGGTAACCCTTTTTCATAGTCACAGTCTTTGATGTCCTAAAGTGAGAGCTAAGTATGTTTTATTTTAGAGAATTGAAAAGAACATAGTTCCGGATGATTATGCTGGAGTAATTTATTTTGTTATTACTTTCTTTTAGCACTCTAATCTTTATAAATATGAAGATCTTAGGACATATGGGGAATGGAATCAAGAATGGGTTCTTTGGACCTTTTTATTTATCACTTGTTTAAATATCTTTCAAAATATTTGTAAGTCTTAACTGCCTGCATATTTTGTCAGCGGTATTTCGGCTGGAACAGAACGAAGACAGATGAATCTCTGTTTCCTATATTAAAGCAACTAAATGCCCAGCAGGTAACCATGGTGGGCTTTTCTCCTAAGTTCAGGATGAAGACTTGGCTGTGGTTGACAGCTGTTAAAGACCAGTTAACTCCTTTATTTTAGGGCAGATAGCATACATTTTGAAATCAGGATAATTTAGATGAGAGAAGAGAAAAAAATAGAAAAATAAAAATTGGACTTTGGCTTCCATTTCTATTATCACTCTTAGGGCTGAACTTTGGAGTCTTTTCATATATTCATTTTTTTCTTTGAAAAAAAACAGTCTAATAATTGATTTCACACTAAGGTGTTTCTGATTAAATACATTACTCCTTTGGCATTACTTTCATTTTTAACAAAAGGAAGTGTTGAGTCCAAAGCAATTCTGATTTAAGTTTTTGTAAGTATTAATATCTGTAAATTCTATAAATGAATCTCGAAAGGTAGAAGTTCAGTCATTATTGTATATCAGTATGAGAGGTTTCTGTGGGGTGGGAGCCCTTTTGATAAAGCCAAAACCTACTTCTTGCTTTATCTATGAGTATGTTCTGACTCACACAAAATAAGCTTTTGCCCATGCTAGAAACAACCCACAAAACATACATACAAATAAACCACTTAGCGGAAATGAGAGTGTAGCTTTTGAGATAATATATTTAAATTAAATCAGTTTTCATTACGCTTGGTTAATTTTGAAAAACATGAACAAAACTGAGACAACATTTCTATGAGTTTCTCTGTTTTTTTGGATGACTATTTACTGGAAACATTTTAAACCAACCAAAAAGGAAAGCTGTTTGGCTTAGTGTCTAGTGACTTCTTAATTTCGGATAAATTTTGTTGTATAAAGGGTAAAAGGTTTATCTCCCTTTTCATTATAAAACCTAATGTTCTTGTTTTTTCAAAATTAGAAAATGAAGGAAATAAATTTAAACTACTCATTATTTACCTTCTTTAATACAGATGTTAACATTTAGCTTAAAAAATTTTCCTACATTTATTTGTGAGCATACTAAATGTAACTTAAAATATCTCATCCTCCCCCAACTTATTAGCATATTTTCTTCTATGTACTGCATAGTTTTCTTAATTCCGCACGACTAGATCACATTTTATGAAAGACATTTGAATAATTAGTTCACTTGTTAGACCTTTAATTTTCAAGTTTTTATAAATAATGCTGTGATGAACATTAGGCATATAGCTTTACCCATATGTAGCTATTTTTAAAGAGTAGCTTCTTAAAAGTGGATGTGCTGAATAAAAAGGAATATTTCTTACAGTTGCTAATATATACTGTGAACTGGCCTCTTAAAGATATTGTATGATGATAATGTTTTTAAAAGAAAGATACAGTAGGACTTAGAAACAGGCCCCATGAAATTGTGTTGCTCCTGAGGAATATGGAATGTTTAGCTACAGAAAAAATATTTAATGCTCTTTGAATATTTAAGAAGAGATTTCTTATTTGAGATGTAGATTGAAGACTTAGTTGTTAGAGATGGTACAAGTACTACGTTGGGTATGATTTAGAAAGTGAAAATTACTGTTAGTAATTCATTGGGAGAGAACTGGCTTTTGGGAGATAATGCATTAATATTCTCTGACATACTAATGCAATGTGAGTGATCAAGGTTGAGCTTGTTGATTTGGTTTAGAAACTTGACTTACTTGTCTGATTTATTATTATTATTCTTTTGTTATTTTTTTTTTAGACACAGCTTCGAATTGACTCCTTCTTTAGATTAGCACAACAGGAGAAAGAAGATGCTAAGCGTATTAAGAGCCAGAGACTAAACAGAGCTGTGACATGTATACTCAGGAAAGAGAGAGAAGCAGCAGCCAGTGAAATAGAAGCAGTTTCTGTTGCTATGGAGGAAGAATTTGAGATACTTGATAAGGCAAAAGGAAAAACCCAGAAGAGAGGCGCAACAAATATATCGAAAGAGTCATCAAGCCTGAAAAGAAAGAGGCTTTCAGATTCTAAAGGAAAGAATACATGTGGTGGATTTTTGGGGGAGACCTGCCTCTCAGAATCATCTGATGCATCGTCAAGTGAGAATGCTGAAAGTTCATCTTTAATGAATGTACAAAGGAGAAAAGCAGTGAAAGAGCCAAAAACCAGTGCTTCAGATCCGCAGAACTCACTGAAGGAAGCTCCTGTGAAGTATGGAGGTGCGACCACCAGCAGCTCCAGTGATGACGATGGAGGGGAAGAGAAGACAGTCCTCGTGACTGCCACGTCTGTGTTTGGGAAGAAAAGAGGGAAACTGAGACGTGTAAGAGGAAGAAAAAGGAAACTTAATTAAAAATTATGTATCTTCTATAATTAGGTATGACAGCCTTTGTAATGAATTTAAGACAATAAAATTAACTGTATTTGCACAGTCTTTGTATTTAGTGTGTGTGGTTCTTAAAAATACAAATGCTAAATTTGACATTTATCTTTTAATGTTTTCTAGTGTTTTTTAGTTGAATATTTCAAGTATCATTGGATATTTTCTTGTATTCACAGGCTTTGTCTTTTTCGTGTTTTCATTATCTTACAATGTCTGATCCTTTCTGGCCACGTTTAGAAAATGAAAAAGATTTCTATTGATCAGCACTCACTCACAATAGGCATTCCCTCTAACATTCAGACCTAGCTGAGAAGAAAGATATGCATGCATGTTTCTTATTCCACAAAAGTGGCAGTTTTACACAGCTGTTTAGCCCTGCTGCCCTTGGCTTTGCATTTTCCCTCAGGTTCCACTTAAAAGCCTAGCAGGAGGGAACCTCACTGCTGGGACATATTTGAATGTGTTTGCTGTGGTTTTAGTAAATAATTAGGAAGCCTAAATGGGGCACATCATTCTACCTGTGAGCATTAAGTGTGTGGGAACCTCTGTACCATTACGTTTGGCTTTTAAACAAGACTTCACTTGACGGAAGCTGACTTGTGTGTAAATGGATTTGGAGGCTTGGAGCTAGAGTTGAACTGGTGTAGGTGGGTCAGCTTTAGGAGTGGCCTGCAGGGGTCGATTGTTATTGACAGTGTTTGTTCAGAGTGGACAACCAAGGTCATTTTAAGATTGTTCCTGCAGAGACCTTTCCTAGGAACAATTCCCAAGCTCCGAGTTGCTTAGAGTTAAGAATGATTGAAGAAGAGTGCTGTCAGTTCCTTTAAGCATGGGTTTCTGCCTTCCAAGCTGCCTTCCCAAGTCTGTGTCTTTTTGGCATCTTTAGTATTTCCATCTTTTCTGACTTCTTCCCTCAGCCTTCAAATTGAAAATCATCACCAATGAAAACAAAATACAAATAGCTAACTTCCAGCAGTCTTTGAATGACTTCTGGATGTGTTGTTTTTTAGGCTCCCCTTTGTGTTCACTTGTCAGCCAGACTTCTCCAGTACTTGGACTACAGCAGCTGCTTTTCTTTTGCACATTATTTCTTCCTCATTTCAAATATGTCTTCTGCATCCATCTTTCTTCTCTAGTAGCTTGCTTCTAAAGTCAATGATCATTTCCGCATAAATAAACTCAAATATTTTCCTCATGTTTCTTTCTCTGCAGGAACTTGGAGCAGAACTTTTTTGGAGGCCAGGGGAGGGGAACATTAACTTTTTCTTGTTTTTCTCATTTCTCAGAATTACTTGCTACTGGGAGTTTTTGTAGGTAGGATTGCAGTCTTGCCAAAAAGTTTAATTTGGTGTCTTTAGTAGACCTTTACATTTGTTTTGCACTGCATTAGCTGAGGGAAAGGATAAGCCACTGTAAAAACAGATGCTCATATACAGTGGTCCGAATAAGCTAGAACTTACGTCTCTCTTGCTCAGCAGTCTGTCCAGTCTGAGCTGACGAAGCAGTTGTGTGCCATGAGGTCATTCAGTCCTGTGTTCAGCCAACCTGTAGGGTGCTCTCTTGCCTAAGTGGTCTATACTGGGTGACTGCTTCATCTGCATTGCATCCTGCCAGAAGGGGAAAGTCCAGGGCAAGCAGAAAGTCTTAAGGGTGACTCGAAAAATCACTTTCTCTCCCATCTCGTCGACCTGGACTGAGCATATGGCCACAGCTAGATACATATGCTCAGAAATGGAATTTCTACCCAGTCTGTGTGCCTAGGAAGAAGGGGAAATGGAAGATCAGGACCTGAGAAACCTGTTCCATAACACTATTTATATAAAAGTTAATATTATATGTTTTTCCCCTTAATCCTGTGACCAAGACATAATGCTTTTACAAGGGGAGAAAGACTTTTAGAGACATTAACTAGTTTTGCTAGATTCACCCATGTAGTAGGTAAAACTTCTCACCTGAACCAAAATCTACTAACTCAAAATTTCAGGGTGCTATTTTACCTATAAAACCGGTTTCCTGTTTAGAATACCAGCTGAACAAATTTTTTGTTATTCACATCAAGTTGGTGTACCTAGAACTTACTTAGGATGATGATCATCATGTGCTTTTTTTATTGTCTTCCAGCTCATTAGTATTTTGTTTAGCTTTATCTATACTTGCTCTTAAACGCATATATTATTTTATTTCATTTATTGTTATCTTTCAGTTCTATTTGACTCATTTTTATAGATTCCAGTTCTCTGGTGTACTTCTTGTTATCTGTTTTTGAGCATCTTAATCACAGTTACTATAAAGTATGTCAAATAACTCCGATGTCTGGGTCACCTACGAGTTTGTATTGTCTGTTTGTTGGTATGCTTGGGTAAATTTTGACTGAATGTTGAACAGTCTATATGAAAAAATGTAGACACTGTATCTTCTGTAGGAAATCATTCAAGGTGGTGGCAAAAATATTAAAGGAAAAATAGTAGAGAAAGTTATATAGTCTCAAACCCTTTTAGAAGGCCTAAAAGTTTTTTCCTAGTTTCAGTAGACGTTTCAGCTGAAAGCAGCCTAAATCCCCCCTACATTTAGTTAATAAGTAAAACAAATAGCCAAAGTATATAAAAAAAAGTTTACCTAACTAACTTGTTTACTCATGTAGTCTTAAAACAAACCTATAAGCCAGATAGCCATCTCGAGAAGTTGACTAAAGATATTACCCTCTAATAGTGTTTGCTCTAAGTATCAGAACCTGTGCGTTAATCTCTTCAATCTAGAGGCGTGAACTCAAGCCTTTGTCAATTAAACTTTATTAAATAAATGCAAGTGTCTCTAGCTAGTAAAAGCCAGCAGCTGCTATCTGTTTACAGCACTCTCCAAAGAGTCTGTAAGCAGTCATAGACCCTCAGCCGAACTAGCAAAGCATAATCTCTGTGTCAGTGTACTTTATTTATCCATCCCTAAGTCACAGTCTGCAAGACAAACCTCCAAAAGTAGTGACCCCAACAGTTGGTCTGTCAGTCTTCCTGCAGCGAGGATTCCAGAATGTATTCTGACAGGCAGCAGAGTGGAAGATCACCTCAATGTAGCCAGCCCGAATCGGGTGGATTCAAGGCTGGTTTGCAGTTTTTTCTGTAAGACTTCAGCTTCTATTTTTCTCCCTCATTCCAGGAAAGTTGCTTTCCTGGAGTACCCTGATGTTTCTTCTTTTGTGCTTGGATCTGCTTTTGTCACTGAATGCTTCAAAAATTAGCCTTTTGCCCTAAACAGCTTAAGCAGTAAACATTTTGAGTGAAAGGTCAGCACTAAGTGTCAGGTTTCTCTGTCCCTTTTACTGGGCTCTTGGGCCCACAATTCTGGCTGTTTTGGCAGCCACAAACCCCCCCCCTTTTTTTTTTTTTTTTGAGTCAAAGTCTCACTCTGTCTCCAGATTGGAGTGCAGTGGTTTGATCTTGGCTCACTGCAACCTCCACCTCCCCAGTTCAAGTGATTCTCCTGCCTCAGCCTTCTCAGTAGCTGGGATAACAGGTGTCTGCCACCATGTCCAGCTAATTTTTGTATTTTTAGTAGAGATGGGGTTTCACCACATAGGCCAGGATGGTCTTGATCTCTTGACTTCATGATTTGCCCACCTTGGCCTCACAAAGTGCTGGAATTACAGGTGTGAGCCACTGTGCCTGGCCACAAACACTCTTGTCTCCATAGTTCTGTGAGATTGCCTGAAGCTCTGCTGCTATCCTTACAGGTGGTACTCTCTTTGGCTTCTTCAAGAAACAGCAAAACAGCAATGCCTGGAATTCTTGGCTGCCTTCATAGTTCTGTGATGCTTTATAATGGAGGCATGTTTGTGTGGTGTATGGGGGTGTGTGTGTGTTTAAAAATCTGCTTTTCTCATTCTTAATAGAAGCCGAGGTCTGCTATAAGCTACTTACATCTGGAGGCAGAAGTCTATGTAGTTGTTAAACCGTTCAGTATAATTTAAGTGATCATTGTCATCATGTTGGTTAAGATGCTTGAATTAGGGATTCTGCCTCTTAAGAGATCTAACAGTGAGGATTGCATGGTCTCTCCAAAAAATCTTTTAAAAACACAGTGGTTTTTATTCATCATTTATTCTTGTTTTTTAAAAAGCCCAAAAGAGAGAGTAGCCTCTGCCCCAAATTAACTTCCTATGAATAATAGTTTGTATTGTTTAGGACTTTGAACTTTCCAGAATGTTTTTACCTATAGTATTCACCCCACAAATATAGGTTGTATGACTTACATAATTTTTAAAAGATTTATATATATATTTTTGAGGCAGGGTTTTGCTCTGCTACCCAGGCTGGAGTTCAGTGGTGTGACCACAGCTCACTGCAGCCTCCATTTCCTGGGCTGAATGATCCTCCTGCCTTAGCCTCCCAAAGCCTCCCAAAGGCTAGGGCACCCTGCTGATATATCCTTGTTTTATAGATGATGAAACCAAGAAACATACTAAGCAAATGGCTTAAAATCACAATCTAATTATAGGCAGGAGTAATGAGAATCAGGCTTCCCAACTCCTAGCCCTTTCCAAAACTTTAAAGTGACTTTGATTCAACTGTGTATACATTGTGGACCTGTAGTCACAGCCCTAAGTTTAACTTTACAATATTGCTTGTATCGTTAACTCTGTAATTTTCTATCAAGGATCTTTCCAGTGGCATGAGAAATGTGTGTGTCCTCAGAGAGGCACACCTACATGTACTTGGGCAGGTGCACAGGTAGACCTATATTTTCAGCCTACCAATTCAGTCTGAATAGGAAGGAATCATGGTAGTCTGATTCCTGGGTGCACAGCAATACTGTACACATTCTGGTGCGGTTGTTGGCATCTTAAACAGTGTTACCATGCAGGTAAGTGACATGAAAAATACGTGGCCTTCATTTCCTAGGATGTCATAGCCACGGAGTCTTAGAATAATTCTTAGCATCCAAGTTAAAGCTGGATCACGCCCTCCAAATATTCATTGCTCACTTCCGGGAGTGGGTTGTATTCACTTCTAGCTCTGTTCATGAGACACTCACGTGGGATATTCCTAGCCTTCTGCCCA